GAGCAGAAACCAAATCAGATCTGCAAGAAGCCTCCAGCACGCTGGAGAATCCTTGCAAAGACCATAGAAGTGGGTCTAGAGGAGGGCAACGAGGCTGGTGAGGGGCTTGGAACACAAAGCCCCTGTGAGGAGCGACTGAGGGAGCTGGGGTTGTTCAGCCTGGAGAGAAGGAGACTCAGAGGTGACCTTATCACTCCCTGAAAGGTGGTTGTAGGCAGGTGGGGTTGCTCTCTTTCACCAGGCAGCCACTGACAGAACAAGAGTACACAGTCTCAGGCTGTGCCAAGGGAAATACAGGTTGGATATAGTGAAAAATTTTTCACTGAATGAATAATAAAGTACTGGAATGGCCTGCCTGGGGAAGCAGTGGAGTCACCATCCCTGGATGTGTTAAAAAAAGACTGGATGTGGCACTCCAGTCATGGTACCATGGTTTAGTTGAGGTGTCAGGGCATGGGTTGGACTCTGATCCTGGAGGTCTCTTCCAACCCAGTGATTCCGTGAAAGATCTTCCCCTACCTCCCTCCAGGGCAGCGAGGGGAACATCCTGATCAACTCCAGCTTGTGCCACCACATCTTCTGCAAGCAGTGGGGTTTGCACCCAACCCTTCTTACAGGGTCACCCCCACTGCAAGCAGAAGGGTCAGCCCACACCACAGTGGGGCTTCAGTCAGGTGGGGAAATGGGTTAAAGTCATGAAACCTGGACAGAACTCCAGGCTGAATCACTGAGGAATCTCCTGATCAGCCAGTGACACATGCTGGGATCACAGACACTCAAGTTTTGCAGAGCAGGGGCTGCAGGTCCAGTTCCCTGTGCCCCCTGGGCACCTCCTGCCAGGAATGCTGCTCTGCCTCTCCCTTCCCATCCCTCCTCCTTTCCCCCACACACATCCTGATATTCCTGGCAAGCTGTTAAATGCAGAAACTCCAGGGCTGACAATGCTGCAATCCTCATTTTGAGCCCCTTTGCTTCACCTGAGCAAAGGGGAGCAGGGATGAGGGCTGGCAGCAGGCAGGGGCTGCAGGGGACTCTCCTCTGGATCAATCCTCACTGCTGGTACTCGTTTGGCTGCCTTGGATGTGCCTGGAGGTGGCTCTGACCCAGGCTAATCCCAGGGTTGAGCTTTTCTCCTCTCCCCTCTCTGTCTGCACTGTGGAGATGGGAAAAAAATCACAATCCTGGAATGGTTTGGAAGGGACCATAAGGATCATCTCATTCCAATTTCCCTAATCCAACTTCTACTAAACCAGGTTGCTCAGAGCCCCATCCAGCCTGGCCTGGAACACTTCCAGGGATGGAGCATCCACAGCTTCTCTGGGAAACCTGTTTCAAAAAACACAGAGACAGGATGGCCATTTCACAGGGTGCCCATGGGCAACCCAGCCCTGACAGCCACTTCCACTGGATCTGGACTGGTCAGTTTTCCTTCCAGGTGACACAAAGGGGTCCTGCCTTGGCCCCAAGAGGGGGAAAACTCATCCCTGTGTCCTTCCCTCCATGGCCCAGCCAAAGCATCACCACTGCTCCTGTGAGAGAAAACCTCTGACAACCAGGATTCACCTTCCTGCCCATCTGCAAATGTTTTTAATGCTCTTTTATCAACTGTGGTGCCTTCTGAGGAGAGTCATCGAGAGGTTCAGTTCATATAGAAAGGATTTACTCAGATTTAGGGCCTCCATAAAGGCCTCTGAACATGCAAACCTCTTCCCGTTCTCAGCTGGGCTTTGCTGTGCACACATTAAAAATGCAGGCAGGCAGCACGGGCCAATATTCCTGAACCTCCTGCTTTGCCTGCAGAAGTCTGCTTCCAGGACAAACACAGATCTCAGGGAGATGAATAAACACATGCCCCCTCCTCTGCTCAGAGCTCACTTCCAGCCCCCGGAGCACGAGGTGGATGATGGAGCCCAGAGGATGCCAGGATGCCACAGGCAGCAGGGAACAGTCGTGGCTGTGGCAGCGAAGTCTTAAGGGAAAACAGAAAAAAAAAGCTTTAAGAAAATAATTATAATCCTGGTTTGTTGGGACCTGCAACAAGAAGTCTTGCTGTCCTCCAGAGAGCTGAGTTTGCTCAAGAAAACTTGGAAAGAAAACTCGGAAAGGGAATGAAAATTCTTGCTTCAAAGCACAGGAGAAGCTTTGCACAACATCCCTGTGCGAAGATCACACTGCTACAGAATCCTCCAGGCTGGCTGGGAAGTGCCAGTCAGAGTGGGAATGGGGTAATGGAATTAGGGCTGCAGTGGAAAATCCAGGCATGGATAATAAAGGCTCCTTGTTCAGGGACAGCCAGGGATGGAGCACAGTGGAACTTCTCCCTGGAAGTGCTGACAGTCCTCCAAAAAGACGGAGGGAAGGATGGGAACCAAAGCCAATTAAATAAATCTCTCCCGAGCTCTTTGTCCCTGTGCACAATCCTTTGGGACAACAGAGGGATCAAAATCCCAGCAGAAATTCCCATCCCATAAGCACAGAGCTCACTTCCTGCAGGGCTGGCAGAAGCAGCCCTGGGATGGGGACAAGGCAGGCAGAGGATGGTCACATCAGGGCTGCAGCTACAGCTACTGCACATTAGGCACATTGCAAATCAAACACTGCATTCAGGATCGAGTTTTTGCCCTGGTTTTGCTGCTTATTTCTTGGAAGAAGCACTCTGTCATCTCCACAGAGCTATCCTGATAGCTATCTGCAGTACTATGGGAAACAAGGTTCCTCTGCCAAGGTTCCTGTAGCCAGAAATTATTAAGACAGAAAGAGTGATTTATTTATTTTTTTCACTGAACAGCACACAAGACTGATTTTTATTTTTCTCCACACCATGAAACTTATTTAAGGACAAGTAACAGGCTTTGGGATTTATTTCACTCTTAATTTGCGTGATCCTGATTCTCAGACCCTAAAATAGGGATTGGAGCAGAGCCACATTTGTGCCGTGGGGCTGAAGACCATACAATCCACCCAGAATCCGAATTTCACTGTATTTAGCACGGTTTTAAGCACTGTGCCTGAGCCAACAAGATTTTTCCCACTTCCAGTGGAAGCATCTTCACTGGGAGAGGGAAGAGCATGGACCCCAAGGAGCTGAGGCAGTGGTGGCTGATGTGAGCAGTCCCTTCAGGGAGCCAGAGCTGCTGCTGGTTCCCACAAGATTAGATTAATTCAGATAAATTCATCTGAGATTAGTTTCTGTCACTGAGGGGTTTGTGATGGTGCAGAAAGAGATCACCTAATTTAAAGGAAAGAAGATGCAGCAATGGACAAAGGAAGGGCTCTGTGGCTGTAGGGGACAGCAAGGTGGGAGGGAACATTCCCAGGAGGGAAATTTTCCTGGAATTACAGAATTTGTTTCTAGTCTGTTCTATTTGCCAGCTAAAGGAGTGACAGCACTTTCTGTTCCTGCAGAGCTGGAGGAGAAACAGGGTTAATTCACAGGAAAACAGGGTTAGAAGCAAAGGCTCACTGAGCTCTCTGCTATTCTTGTGTAATTATGGTGCCAAAGGCTTCCAAGATAAAGGATTTTAGTGGGAACTGTAAATGCCAGTTGTAAAACGAATGAGAGAAAGCCACACACCCACAAGAATAGCAAAGCCTCCCTTGTCCCTGGATCTCATCTATGTCCAGCCCTCAACACAACCAACAGGGGCTCAACCAAAGCATTCCCAGGGGATGGCAGCTCCTTCATCCTCTGAGCTGGATCCAGGACCTCCCTCCCTGCCTTGGGAAAGGCTTTGCCAGGGGTGACACCCTGGGACCCTCCCAGTGATGCCCCAGGACTTAAACCCAGCCCTCACCAAGGCCCTGCAGTTTGTGCACACAAATCCCCTGCTGCTCCTGGCCTCCAAACTCCTTGGATGTTCTTTTCCCTTAAAACAAAAATCACTGCAGGCTCCTCCAGGACTCAGGGCTATTATCAAAACAAACAGTCCCTAACTTACAACAAATCTTTCCTCCTCAAACCCTCGCCCCCTGCATCTCCCCCCAGCCCTGCTGGGATCTGGCAGATTCGTGTTTAACAGATGGGAAGGCTCCGAGCTGGTTTTACACGTGAAAAGCTGTTCCCCTCCAGCAATCTCAGCGCAGACAAGGCAGGGAAAATATGTTCCAACAGTGGGAGTGGTGGCAGGGAGTGCTGGGGATGGGTGGCAGGGCTGGGAGTGGGGCAGGGACCTCATCCAGCCTGAAACTCTTCATCCTGGCTGTGCCTGGCCTGGGATGTGCCACAGATCCCCACCCAGAACAGCAGCAGGACACATGCTGTGGAGAAAATCAAATGTGTTCTGTAGTTGGGGGGTGAAAACTCACACATTTCCCTCCCAAAAAAACAAGGAAAAGGTAATTTAGGCTGCAAGCTCATCCCTGTTATAGCCGTGGTCCTAATGAGATGTTCCCAGATTAATAATCCAAATGCACTCGAACAAGGAAAGCAATTGCAAAGCAATTTTGCAGGGAGCTGAACAAAGAGCAGGATAACAGCTCTGCTTAATAGGGGCTGTCTGCTGCTTTTAATTCCTTCTCCAGTGCTCCCTCAGCTAACAGAGGAGGAGCAGGCAGCACACCTTGGGTGCCAGGGCACTCCTCCCACCCTCACCAAGGATGTGCCTGTGACAAAGCCAGGAGGACATTTCCCAGTTGTCAAGGGCAAAGGTCCCTGGGCTCCCCTGCACAGGGACAGTGGGGACAGTGGGGTGATGCCACAGCTCCTGGGCACTGCTAACTTTCCTGGGATCCCTCATGAAGTTGTGCAAAACCTCCAGCTAGAGACACCGAAACTCACCCTGCTGCCCTTCCTGGCACAAACAGCGTACACAGCTCCTTGTATTTTCACTATTTCATCTGAAATTATTCCCAAGCAGCTGTAAGGACCCTCCCTACATCCCAAAGACGCCCCTGGTGTCTGTTTAACCCTATCATGGGCAGCTTCTAATGAATCTGATGTGATTAAATACAAGGAACGTGGAGAGATGTTATTTTAAAGCATCGTATTCAAAGGATCTTACCTAATTCCTTTGGTTTGAGCAATACTGTGGAAGGAGAGCCTGGATACTGCAGAGATCACCTGGAAATGAGAGAAGAAGATGTTGGTGTGCTTACTGATGACACAGGAAGGTTTGGTGGGAGCCCAAGGATCCCCAGCCTGGTGCTTGGAGCTGAACCCCACTGGAATGGATGTGCTCAATCCCCCCTCAGTGTCACAGTGTCACCACCAGGGCTGGGAGGACACTGCCAGTGCAAACCTTGCTGCAGGTTCCACCACTGAGCACAAAAGACATTTAACCCTCAGCTATAAAGATATTATTGAACAGCTTCATCCGAGAAAACACCATCCCCACACTCATTTAGTGAGCCCAGACCTGCCCTGACAGGTTTTATGCAACACTAAGAAGCACTGACAAAACCCTCTTCATTTGTATTTTATTACAAAAGGATTACAACTCCTTTCGTGTCTCTCCTCACACAAAATGATCTTATTGAGGCAAACTTGCCAAGACTGAATGGCTCTGACTCCTTGCAATTCAATAAAGATGCATCATCAGTTTGTCAGAGGTGAGTGCAGACCATCTCCCTTTTCTGGCAGAAAACAGCCAGGAGTGATTCAACACCAAAATATTCTCATCAGCATTGCAATCAGAAGCAATAAAACCACCAGGTTTTTCAGAAAAACTCCCATTTTTTGATGGAAGTCTTAATTGCTAAGGGGAATTTTCAGTGAAGAGGAACAAAGAATGGGTTTGAGTCTCTCGTAGATTTAAACTGTGTTCTACTCTTGTTCACATTCACCATTTCAAAGCTGGAGTTATTAAAACAAACCTCTTATTTTTGGACTGGTTTCCAATCTACTGGGGTGGGACATGGATAAAGGGTGGGCTCCAGGTGGACAAACCCAACCCTCTGGGGGTTGATGCTGCTTGGAGCTGCCACAGGGACCCCTGAGATCCCTTCATTCAGGAATTTTACTTTGGGATGCTCCCCTGGTTTGCTGAGCCACCTCCAAACCACCCAGCCAGGGACCACATCCCTGTTTTCTCCTGGGATGAACTCAGAGCCTCTCTGCCTCCCACATTTTTATCCCAGGACTTCAGTGAGAGCCTCATCTCAGTCCATCCTTTTCCTCCACACATTTGCAACCTTCATCCCTCCCACTTTTCATCTGCCATGAGTTCCAGCCTGGCTGTCAGCTGCTGCTGTCCCACATGTGGAGCCAAAGCCAGGGCAGCAACCAAAAACCTGCCAGAGTTTGGTGTTCAGTGGGTGATTTCCACACGGAAAACAGGGAACAGAACATCCCTGAAAGGCTCCAGGGCTCATCACGGCACAAAACACCACCACTGGTACCTGTGACACCAGCTCAGACAGGGCACAGAGACTGGAGACTCCACTGGCACCCCCAGCCCTGCTCCAGGGGACTTAAAATAGTGCCAGGGAAGTCCTAGGCTGACTGAGTCTCTTCCATGCTCTATTCTTAGCCTTCTGAAGTAAAAATCCAGTTTATCAATCAGACAGTTCCATTGTGGGGTTTGACTTCCAGGGAAATTTAAGAGGGAAGCTCCTGGTTCCCCTCACCAAGAAGCTTCCCTCTGTCCTTTGCTGCACAGCCCCAAGATCTGCACATGCTGGGCACTGCTTCCAGTGAGGAGCCAGCACAGCCAGGATCCCAAATCCACCCTCAGGTGAGAAAGCCAAACCACCCAGTGTGAAAGATAAGGCACAAAAACCCTCCCTGACACGACTCCAGAAGGTTGAACAGCGACTGTCCCAATATCAGGGAATATTTTTCCCAATAACTCCTGCTAAGAGCAAGACAAGCCAAGTGCAAGGCCAGCTCCTCACAGATCCCAGCCAGGGAAGAGCTTAAGCATGTATTTGAAGGGAAGTAGTCCTCTCAATTTCAACAGGATTAAACAACATTCTTAAAAGTAAATCACCCCTTAAGTGTTTGCTAAACCATGTCTCATTTTCCCCTGTAAAATTTGCAGGCAAACCCAGGCCTGACTTTGGCTCTGGGGTTGGGTCAGGATCTGTTCCACACCCACACGGCAGCACGAGGGTCCCTGATCCCAGCTGAGACTTTTCCCTGCTTCTGGAATACCAGGATAGACCAAAACAACAAAAACAGACATTCCAACCTGCCCCTGAACACTTCAGGGATGGGGCAGCCACAGCTTCTCTGGGCACCTCGTGCCAGGGCCTCCCCACCCTCGAATTCCTTCCCAATATCCCAATATCTAGCCCAAATTTCTTTCAGTTTAAAGCCATTTCCCCTTGTCCTGCCACTCCATCCCTTGCCAAAAGTCACCCTCCAAGTCATTAGAAGATGTTTGGAAAACTATTCTCTTATCTCTGCATTTTTCTTCCAGGAGATGTAGGGCTGTGGGTTTTAACAACAGGGGCTTATGCAGATTATTGCTATTATTATTACCTCTTCACCCATTCCTCAATGCAATTTCCTCCCTGGAAACTGCATTCAGCACACAAAATTACCATAAAAGCTATATATAACATCCCACTGACAATAAGAGGGCAGGAATATAAATAGGAATATAAAGGTACCAAATGCAGGTGAGGCACAGACACTTTTCTCTAGCAGTGACCTGCCAAAGGGTTGGTGGGTAAATTCCTGGTGGTTTTGCCATGACAAGTGAGGGATGCCCTTCACATTCCTGAAATTCCAGTGTGCCTTGTATTTATGGGGGTTGAATCCAACCACCCAGCTGATCACTGACTGACCAGAGAGATCACTGCTGCAAAACACCAGCACCACGAAGCGAGGCAAGAGGGCTCTGCATGTGATTTCAGGTTTAAAAAGGCACAGAGTTCTGCACTTCATGGGAAAAAAGAAAGAAAGTTAAAGTAAAATAAAATAATCAAGACTCAAAGTGGGTTCCTCACACTCACTGGTCAGTTTGGGAAAAAAAAACAAAGTGGGTAAAGAAATGGGATTTTTGAAAAGAATAAAAAAAAACACAATAGCCACACCACTTCCATAAAAAATTCACCACTTTTCTTCCTTACTTCCAACACCTTCTTTTAGGAATTACAGATTTTAAAATAAACCAAAGCCAAATAGAAAATAAATTACTATGCTCACTGCTCTTCTACTTCCTACAGCATTGTTTATGCCTGATGGTATCTCTGAGCATCTAGAAAACTCTAAAATAAACTATTTTTTATTTCAAAAAACAAACTGACCCAGCTGGGCTGGAGAACACTTTGTAGAGGAGGAACTTTCCAGCTCTGGGCACTCCAGGAGTGACCCTGGGAGCGGGAATGAGCTGAGGGCTCATAGCCAGCACTGAGCATTTCCACAACAAACAGATTTGCTTGGAAGCAAATCAGGAGGTCTGCCCAACATTGATAACTCTGGGCAGAGACCCCTCTGTGCCACCTCTGCCCATCCCATGGCAGAGGGGTTTTCACAGCCCAGAATTACAGGGAGTCGTTTTCTGCTTTGCCCCTAAACTCACAAAGGGCAAAACAAATCCTCAGGCCAAACATCCCCAGCCTCAGGCAGAAACTTGACCCCAAAATCAGAGACAAACTGATGGTATCTCTGAGCAACCAGAAAAACTCTCAAATAAACTCTCTCAGGTTTGAAAAAACAAACCAGCTGGGCTGGGGGAACACTTGGCATGGGAGGAACACAGAGATATCATTTCTGAGCTGGATAACGGCATCCCACAACCAAAACACTGATGGGAACAGTCCCAGGGACAGGAATGCTCAAAGAAAAGCAGTCCTCAGAGCAAGGAGGATTTGATCCAGCTGCCTCCTGCCTGAGGTGCTGGAGAATCCTGAATTTTCTCCTGCTGGTGCACGTGGCTGGGCAGCTCCTGTTTGCTCTTCTCCCTGCACACCTGGGCACTTCCCAGCAGCTTCACCCCCCTGCACACCCCCCTGGGCTGGGCACCACCTGCTGCTTGCAAACCAAGCTCTCACCAGCAGTTTCCAGCCTCCCATCTCTCTGTTTGCATATCCCTGTCCCAAACCAACATGGTTTGGACCTTGGCTGGACCAGCCCTGGAAAACCAGAAGAGTGTGAGGGGAACACAAACCACAACCTGCTTGCTCTGGAGCAGTCATTTGTGCTCTTGCCTGGGGCATAAACTTTCAAGGGCCCTTTTCCCTGGACACAGAGCAGACAGAACTGCTGCTGCTTCAGCATCCCAGGAATTTGCTGAGGAATTCCTTAAATCTCCCTCTCCTGCTACAAGCTGGTACCGGAGAAGAGCATCAGGCCTGTTTGGGCAGGAGGAAATCAGACAATGTGCAATGTATTCCTGGGATGCCAAGGGTGGGCACAGCCCCATGAAAGGATCTATCAGACGGATTTTCCTACACCCACCCTCTCAAGCCGGATCACATCCACCCAGCTGCCTGCTGAGGATGAGGCTGTCCAGTAATAATTGGTTTGGACAACAGGTTTGAGCTTTTCCAGTGCCTGCCTGGATGATTTCCTCAGTGGCTCCACTTGGCCTGCCCAGGGATGCCACACTTCTCCCAGGGCCACTCATGCTGTTTGCTGGCATCCAGCTTCTGGAGAGGTGCCAGCTGAGCAGATTTGGGCTGATACACATTTGATAAGGATTTCAAATCAAAGCCAGGGAAGTTTTCCTGTGATGGTGTGTCCGGGCTTCTGTCCCTGTATTCACTGCAAGGGCCATGCAACAGATGGGCAAGTGTGGGTATGGCAAAGCCTCTTCCCTCCTCCAACAGATACCAAGAATCCTTCACTGGCACTTCCATTTGCTTTATTACTGGTCCCAGAGCTCTGGCAGCTCCTCCTCTTCCCCAGCCCCACAGGGTGGTGAAGCCCATTTGCTGTAAAGCGCTGCTTTAAGCCATACAGTGTGTTTGAATGGGCTTCTAAAAACAACATTATTAAACCCTCACTATTTTGCATTAAACCCCATGATTTGGCCACATTACATGCTGGGGGTGCAAATATTAAATCACTGGGAAAAGCCACTGCTGATTTCCAGTGGGAACAGCACTCATGTAGGTTTTTTACAGGTTTATTTCGGGCTCTTTGGGGCTGGCATCATGTCTGAAATCATGAAG